AAGATTACCTCCACAATCTGGGAGGGAGTCGCTTTAGTTATGAAGAGGTCGGGATTGATCCTAGGGTTATTGTCACCAACAACGTATTCAAGGATATATTCAGGTAGGAAAACGTGGGATCGGAAGTCGTTGTACGACATGATGTATGTACTACTGATTGATTTGATTGGTTCAAGATGATAATTAAAATTTAATATCTGAGGAAGAGAAAAAGGATGAGATGGGTTCGAATGGGTGGATTTATAAAAGAACATGATCACTAGATCATCAGAAGGTTGACACAACAAAGCTCTAATCGATCTTATGTTTTTGCATAAATGAAATATAATATATAATTAATGAGAGAGATGCAGTCAAACAGAGACACCGTAGCTCTCCGAAGATGATCAGGTTATACTGAATTTCTTGTATCTCCAGTCAACTTCTCGCTCCACTCCAAAAATTTAAAGGGTGATAGCTACTAGAAGCTTGTATATGTAACTCCGATGACTGTACATTTGATCTTTGCATATTCAGCGCTTCACAAATTTTGAGCAAACTCTGGCAGCCACATAGTTACATTGATCAAAGTGTAGACACGTATTACAAAGTGGTCCCCTTATCTTTTTTAGGGGGTCTGCTATATTTGTTTGTTTTGTTTGTTCTTATAATAAAGAGTCACGTACATTGAATGGTTTCCATTTTCCAAAATATGACTAACGTCATAAAGGGACTTGACCGGCCAATAATTATTAATGATGTAGATATATAATTACCACCGATGTTTGAGCGCGTAGCTACCAGATCCCTTGTATTACCTGGATGTGGTTGCTGCTGAAACAAATTAGACCTTGGATCCAGCAGCAAAGGAGGCAACACCCGGCAAAAGAGCATCCTGACTCATAATCAAGAGTCATGAAACTAAGGCATCAAGTGTGGGGTTGATATAATTGACGACGCTTAAAAGATCCCAGTGATTGTTCAGGCCTTGGATACAGCCGGGATCATAGGATCAAATAAGTCCCCTGATGGATTATAATATATTATAAGTACATGTATACATCTTCATGATTTGTGTCAATGATCTTTACACTTCAGTTTGATGCATCTACACAGTTCACACTCTCAATCCGAGTTCTGCCGATCAATCCTATAATCAACGCAAATATTCCTCATAAGCTTGCATCTTCCACACATGCCGAATTATATAACTACATACATATATATTAAGGTCTCTACTTTATAAGTAAATTCTTTGCGTCTCGGTCCAGGTTCTTAAACTTTCAGGCTTCTTTGAATTAAACTAATTATGGCAAAGATGTCTCTTCGAATTTACATACATCCCATTCTATTCTGATGCTGATGCTTGTGGAAATCTTTATTTTATCAAGTTGCGACATCTTGGTTGTTCAGCACGATCATTTATACCACTCAACCTGTTCCAGAAACATACATACATAGTATTCCACAATGTCTTCAAAGGCCAATTCAACATCAAGCCGTCGAAGTGTACGTCAAATCAAAAATCCACACAAACACCGTCGGATAGGAGGCGCTGCAATGTCACCGGAACCGATGGAAAGAAAAAAGACGAGGAAAAGGAAAAATGAAACCGATTTGCAAACCGGTGAGACTTCATTTTCAAAGCTACAGAAAAAAAGTTTAGATACTGTGTTTATACATGTGTGATACTGATATACATGCATTTAAATAAAAATGCAGATGCAAACCAGACGACCAGTGGCACCATCAAAACATCCCTTGAAGATTTAGGTGTGTCAGTAGGGGCGAATACGACTCGCGAACGACTCCTCGAACTACTCGATTCCCGCAGCAAGACAAAGAGGCCTCGTCTGTCTGGTGATAGGCGGAGGATCGGCTCGAAAAAGGTTGACGAAGGGAAGAAGGCTGGCTTTCTTTCATCCACGAATAATCAAGTTGCGGCATCGGGTTCAACTATCGATTTCTCAATCTATCATACTTCGGACCTAAAGGACATGCTTCAAAAGGTTGGTATGGATACCAATGGGTTGGACAAGAATGGACTGATCCAATCCTGCAAGACACATAGTGAACTAAGTACGTTATTCAGATGTTGCATCAGGCTTACATTTTCCAAGCTGATATGATGTTGCAAGCAGTCCTGTTACCAGATTTTTTGGTGTCAATACCCCCATCTGCTTCTACAATCCGACAACAACCAGGTAAGCAAGACGACTTGTTTTTCATCATACAGTTAATGAGGTCTGTACTTACATACTCCTCTCATTCAAGACGCAGGGCCTTCTCGTACAGTTGATCCCGGTGAGAAATTTCCAAGTCTCGAGCGTGGTCGGTTAACTTTTCCGCGTCCCAAACCTACGATTTTGAATCCGATTGTCACATCAAAAGATCGAAAAGGGAAGGGAAAGGCCCCACCTTTAGAGGACGAGGACTGGACTCCCGAAAATGAGGTATCATCACCAAGCTCAGAAGTGGATGACTGTGTCAGAAACATAAGTAACACAAAGACCTACAAGAATTTGTCTTCAAACCCTCATGAGTCGTGTTCAAACACATTTAATCCAAACGACACCCACCCCGATCCAATTTTCGAAGGAAGCTTTGATCGAAATCAGGGTACTGAAGATCCATCGTCTTCAAACCCCCATCAGTCGAGTTCAAACACATTTAATCCAAACGACACCCACCCCGATCCAATTTTTGAAGGACGCTTTCCCAAAATCGGGATCCTGAAGATCCAAATCTCGCCTCAACTGTTGCTAAACAAACCCGAACTATAGCCCGCCTTAATCTGAACTTGACCAAAACAAATGCCAGGATCGAAGCCCTCGAAAGCGAGGTAAGCACTCTGACTGGGATTGTTAATAAATTGATTGGGAAGCGTGACGAATCTGAGGAGAGTGGAACCAGAAGTGGTGGGCGCATAGCAGTAAGTTTAATTGTTGGATCACAACTATACATTGTCGTTATAAATTCTAACACACCTTGTGTCCACCAAAAATGTGAAACAGTCTCGTGTGCGGTTCCACATCGCATGTATGCTAGGTCCCGGAGGACAGGTCAAGCTCCCGAACCCTGCAAGCGCAGAAGATAAGGAGAGTTGGTTGAGTCAACAACCAATTGAGTCGGTTCAATTCGATGTGGACTTGAATTCTCATACCTTGAACGCAACCAAACGGAATTCGAACGCTACAGACCCAGATGGTCCAGGCCATCCCGACTCAAACGATCAACAACTTTCTGTCATATGCCAGATGATGAAGGCAGTAAGGGTTCAGAGTTTCCGTCCAGACTTTTCTCGGTCTGCGTCATCAGGTGAAAACAAATGGCTTTGGGATCTTGCAATGAAGATATGCATCAAACTTGTGGAATGCGGAGAATACACTGGCATTCCTATAACATCACAAGGTATCAGTACAATCAAAAAGTGTTTCACATCACACCAACAGTCACTTCGAAAAAGGTATGTGTCAATCAACTTTAAGCTCTGCTTTCACATCATTGATGAGTAAAGTGTGATGAGCTAACCCAGGTACCGCGAGGAAAATTGGGACGTTGCGCGTAAACAAAAGGCTGCAGATGAAGTGAGACGGTCAACCAGAATGAGACACGTAAGTCTGAAATTTTGAATCTATACCATGGTTTCCAATACTGACAATTACAATCTTACAGCTGAAAGCACTACGGGATCGAACAGTTCTTTCAAAAGTGTGTCTTTGGCCACTTTCAGCCATAATGCAAGCAGCTTGCAGTGATGATGAGACGGACATGGATGAAGGTGAAAATGTATTACGTGCAAACAGACCATGTCGCGTCCGAAGGCTCATTTGGCGCAGTGATACCTTGGAATCGGTCTGTCTACTCGTTGACCAATACAAGTCTAAACTTGATGACTCTATCCCTGGGCATTCACCTGGTCAAAAGGGACGCCCATCACGACTGCGTATTCGAGGCGATGATCGACCGCTCAGCAGAATTGAAGCCCCGGAGGGCTTGCCAGTAGACTGTTACTCAGATGAATGGCTGTCAACCTTATCAGCTGTGCAACGGGATCAGCTGCACATTCACACAGTACCGGTCCTTTGAGAAACTCAGTTCGTTTCTTGAC